ACTTTAACTTGACCAACATATTTATCCTTGACCATTTAATATCCTAACTTTTTGTGTTTGTGAGCACCACCAGATTGTTCAGTTCCCAAATACTAGAATGTTAGGGTTTGTAATCCAAGTGAGAATATATACATTTTAAGAACTAACCAAGTTAACGACTGCGAAAAATGAAGCACAAGGTCCTCTGGTAGGAATTGAACCTACGGCCCTGCGATTCCGGTGGAGCGCTCTAACCAACTGAGCTACAGAGGCCAGCTGTTGAGCTGTAACCGTAAGTTCATGTATGTATAGGTAATCGGGTGTGCGGGTTGTGATAAGGTGGACTTCAATGATGGATTCTTGCACTTCACTTGGTGGAATTAATATTAGAATGTTAGTTTGGTCGAATTAATATTAGAATGCTTGCTTAATAACTCATAATTAAATGCTGGGAGGCCATTTAACTCCCTTGTCCACCTTTTTAATGTTGGTATTTCAGTGTTATTCACCTCAAGTGAAGTGTTTATAGGTTCAACGTCCATATTTAATAAATTTAAATAAATTTATTTGCAGTATTTACAATATTAACAAATTTTAACATATACCCTAAATATTAATTTTACTATTTTTTAATATTTACATTTACCAAAAATTTACATACAAAATCTAGAACGACTTTAAGAAGGCCTCAAAAGTTTAATATTTGAATATACCTAAGTTTATTTACCTAAAATTATTATAGAACTCACGAGTAATTTAAAAAATTTAACAATCGAGGACATGAACCAAATTGCACTTCAGCTAGAGGGCAAACGACAGCAGTGAACCCAGAAAAACTTTTATCTTTAAATTTTTTGCTACGATTGAAGGCTACTTATTTAAATTCAGGGTATTTTCGCGCCAAAACAAAGGGTATTTTCGCGCCAAAACGAACATTAGGTGAAGTGAGGGCACGTCAATGGCAAATTCGAACACAATTGTGACAAAAGTTGTAATTTTCGCGAAGCTTAAAATGCCATTTCGACACGCGAACATGTAAAATAACTATGAGATCGAATACAAACAACTATCAGAGCATCTTATTTTGAAATAATATTTAGCCGATCGCATATTGAAAAGCCAAATCACCTGCTTTAGTTGGGAAGGTTAGATTTTCGCGAGCAAATTTCTGCAAGGCATGTTTATACAAGACGTGCCACTGTCAACGCATTTTCTCGGCCGCTAATGGACAGAAATTCCACTAATTTCCCCCAGTGAGTTTTTCATGTTTATTGGATTTAAAAAGATAACTCCTCTACATGATTGTGCATTTTATATAAACTATCCCATGCTTTTTCATCCGAAATAATCATTGTTTTATTTTCAAACTCCGAGTTTATCCGCCGTATAGCGATTTAAACGGTCTCAAGAGACCGTATAAGTTTACACGGTGGATAGGCAAAATTTAACCGGTGGATAGCTCTAAACGGGCTTTCAACGATTTCTTGAGCGTTTAAATTTTATCCGGCGGATAGCGAGTTAAACGGTGGTTAGCGAGTTAAACGCCTTTGATACAACCGGCCCCTGATGGATATTAGCGAGCTTAAGTAGGACGGCAACACGACGAGGACGGCCAAAACAAATTGTTTCAAATAAATGATAGCAAAGAAAACTTGTCGTATATTATAATAATTCGTATGAATTTAATACAGTATAAGAAGCTAAAATAGAATAATATAATTTGCACACACATTATAAATACAAGATACAACAATTTTCTACATTAAGTATTATAAAACAAAAAGAATTATGTGCATAGCCACCCGTAAGTAACCATAGGGGCTAATTGAGACAGGTGGCTATCAATTTTTAGTAGAATATGATACAGTAAACAATTTTTAAATAAATGTGTTACAAGATGGCAAAATTGAAAATTAAAAGAAAACATAAATATGATCCGAATACTCAAGTTAATATAGCTCAATTATACTTTGTTTTAATTTCTTTTTAAATAAACTTATACTCAATATTTTTAGCGCCTCATCAATATCATTCCAAATTTTAGGGCCCGAAAAATTAATATTAAAAACTCCATAGTTTGTACGAACTAAAGGTAAAGCGTATGAACACTTTGATGCAAGCCGTGTATCGTAATTATGTTTCATACGATTTAAAATGAAGAAGTTGTCAAAAGCAACCGGAAGACTGTCTCGGTAAAAGTGATGCATAAACAGAGCAGTATAGAACTTAACAATATCTGCAAGTTTTAATAATTGGTCTTTCTTAAAATAAGGAGCTGTATGTGCCTGATAAAATAGAAAATTCATTATGCGAATCGCTTTCTTTTGCAGGATATACAAGGGCTTAATATTAGACCAATATGTATTTCCCCATATCAAAACGCCATAAGTAAGATACGGATAAATTATTGAATAATAAACTTGAGTAAGTATCTTTTTTGTGACAAAATGACGAAGTTTCGATAGTATACCAATTCCTCGTGATATCTTTTTACATAGCTCATGAACATGCTCTTTCCAGTTCAAATTAGAATCCATAATTATACCTGAATACTTAATGCTATTTTCTTGCCTTAAGATATTGTTATTAATTAGAAGGCTAATAGAGTAATTAACCTTTTTCTGAGGAGGATGAAAAATTACAAAGTTGGATTTTTCTACATTTAGGGATAGTTTATTAACACATAACCACTGATCAACCTTACATAACTGTTCATTCAAGTGCAATTCGAGAGATTGGAGGCTCTTGTGCGCAAAGAATAAGTTTGAATCATCAGCAAAAAGGTGAAAATCCAAATAATCAGAAGATTTGTTAAAATCATTAATATAAATTAAAAATAAAAGAGGCCCCAGGACAGAGCCTTGGGGAACTCCGTGAGTAAGTAACTGTTCATCAGATGACACATTACCAAGTGAAACAAACTGGTTTCTATCTGAAAGGTAGGAACAAAACCAATCTTTTACTATCCCTCTTATACCATAATATTCGAGTTTCTTTATTAAAATTTTATGATTAACAGTATCAAATGCTTTACTAAGGTCAAGGAATATTCCACATGAATACATCTTTTTTTCAATTGCCTTTTGAATTTTATTAGTAATGAGCAAAGTAGCATGATTAGTAGAATGATTCGCACGAAAACCGAATTGACCAGAGTAAAGTGTTTTGTTTTTCTCAAAAAAACTATTGAGCCTCTTATACATCAGTTTTTCAAGAATTCTATTGAATACAGAAAGTAAAGAAATTGGACGATAGTTTGAAAGAACAGTGACAGATCCCTTTTTAAAAACCGGAATAACTTTTGCAGTTTTAAATTTTCTTGGGACAGTTCCAGAATTGAATGAACAATTATATAGATATGATAATGGTTCAGACAGTATAGATCCTAGTAGCTTAAGTAACTTAGTTGGAATACTAAATGGCCCAGTAGATTTGTTATTACATAAATGATCAATCTCTTGTTCAACTTCCAATGGATTAGTTGGATAAAGAGCAAAGCTATGTGAAGTAGGTGATTTTAAATATTTATCAAATGATAAATTTAGTAAAGGTATAGACTTAGCAAGATTAGATCCAATGTTAGCAAAATAAAAATTAAAAGCATTAGCAATGTCAATGGTGTTTGTTACTTTTTGGGAACCTATTTCCACTGTAGTTGGAACATTAGATTTATTTTTGTTAAATGTTATTAATTGTTTAATCCCTTGCCAGGTTTTCTTAATGTTGTTAGAATTATATTCAAAGTAATTAGAGTAATGGGCCTTTTTACTTAGTAATATCAGATGTTTCAACTTATTTCTATATGATTTATATTTAGAAAAATAGTAAGCATTTTTTGACTTCAAATACAACTTGTAGAATTTGTTCTTTCTTTTTATAGAAACTCGAATACCTTTTGTAATCCACGGTTTAGATAATAATTTCGCTTTTCTTTTGGATAATTTTTTTAAAGGGACATGTTTATCGACTAAAGCAGATAGTGTATCAAAAAAAGAGCTGAAAATTAAATCTACATCATCAGTATCACCAAAGACACCCATCCAGTCAATTGTGCCAACTTCTTCTAGAAAATCTGCCTCATTAAATTGTGAATACTCTCTTATATACCTATCATAATTATAGCTACTTTGAGACAATTTACTTATAACAATAAAGTTAGGTAGATGATCAGAAATGTCATATATCAGATTTCCACTTATTGTCTTATACTCAATAGTATTTAAATAAATATTGTCTATTAGAGTTGCAGAATGATCTGTAATTCTGGTAGGTTGGATTATATGTGGTTGAAAAAAGTAAGATATCATAGTATTAAAAAATTCTTCAGTTGGGCTATGTGATTCAAAATTGAGTAAATTAATATTAAAATCTCCCATAATTATACAATTTTTCTTTTCATTCGAAACTTTATCAATACATGATGTGAGATAATCAGTAAAGTTTTCAAGGTTACTGCTAGGATGTCTGTAAATTACTGAACAGATTGTATTAGTTTGCTTTGTACAGTGAATTTCAATCCACAGACATTCAAAATCCTCTGTAGTAATAGAGAGATCTTGTCGAGAGTGAAATTCAAGGTCAAGACCAACATAGAAACCAACACCACCAGCAATTTGTGAACTAGGTTGGGAAACAAAATGGTAATTGGGTAATTCAATATTTATAATTGGATCTTTATTAACAATTAATTTAGTTTCTGAAATACCCAAAATATCAAAAGAGATTTGAACTTCGGTTAACAAACTGTCAAAGTTTGCACTTAGACTTCTTACATTGCAATGAAGTACAGAGAAAGTATCATGAGAACTTTTCAAATCTGTAGTGACTTGAGTATTAAAATTATTGATTGTATAATATTTAAAATCTATCTGGGGTAACAAATTATTATCAATATCAACAGCTTCAAAGTTAGGTATATTTGATAGCTTGGAGATCAGATCAAATTTAGGTAGAGAGTCATAAGTATCACTCATTATAACCACTCAATCATAAACATAGACAGGAAATAGATAAGATTATACTTATCGGGATAATGCTTGTAGATCCATTTTAGTAGAGATAACATGAATTGGACTGTTTGTATCTTTGCGCAGAAAAACTCGCCCAGATCTCGTCCATATGAATTTAAGATAATGGTCACGCTTGAACTGAAGACACTCTTTGAAAAGTTCCCTGTTTTTTGATGTTAAGCTTTCGGATATGAAAATCTTGTTGACTGATGCTGTGGAAAATCCAATATCACGTGTTGATTTATCTTTTAAGTGTTTTCGAGCTCTGTAGAATTGATCCTTAGTGACCCTTCGCACAAACTTAACAATGATCTTCGGATGATTTGTATTAAATCCCGGCATTCCTTCTCTTGCACGTTGACTATAGCTTGGTTTAGGTAACCGATGACTAACCGAGATATCACTTTCATTTATGTTCACGCCAATCAAGTTACCGATTTTCATCACCAATTCATTTGTATTCTCTTGTTCACCTTCGGGCACCCCTGCTATCTCAACACAATCACGGCGTGAATACTGCTCAATGTCGTTGATTTGGGCACTATGATGCTCAACAATACTCGACAATCGTAATACTTCAGCTTTTAAATGTTTATTCTCAAGCTCTGTTGCTGAGAATCTTTTTTCTAGCTCATCAAAGTTCTTTGTAATAGTGTCAAATTTATCACTGATAAAGTGAACCGATTCTTTTAGCCCTTCCATTGTAGACATAATGGGCTTTAATTTGTCGTCAAGAATGGACGCAAGTACATCTTTGGTAATGGCAACTTTTGTAGACATATTTATAATATCAATTACAAGATAATTAAGTAAAAAGAAGCAAAGAAATTCGCAAAATACATTGATTTTCACACAATATCACGGAGCTCAAAATTTAGCATCCGCCATCTTTACAGTGCTAAAAACATTGGCTTTATGTTTGGGAAGAGTTCTACTGACCGAATTTTAATTTGCACTTGTCACGGCTTGAAATGCAGGCGTTGTATAAAAGAGGTGAAAATCTGTGACTTGCCGTTGTAAACAGAGCGACGACTACGTCTGAAACTCCCCCGGGACTTTAATTATTTATTTATTTTCATTGACTGCTTGTATTGATTTCATAGAAAATATGAAGCCACAATGTGTCCTACTCAGATTTTGACATCTCAACCAAGCAATACAGTATTTTGAAATCACCAATTGCGTGCGCAAACACACTGGGAAGGCGCATCTAATAAGAAGAGTATCCGCTGAATGTTTTGTTTAAGGGCGCGGGTCAATGATGCGTCCGACTCTCAATGAGGAGTCCGACTGTCCACGGAAAAAATTTTGCGTCGTCGTCGTATTACCGTCCTACATGCTTAAGCTCCCTAATATACATGCACAGACGTATTTAAGGACAAATCATAATACAGTATTGTGAATGGTATAAGTGTACTTTGCTCAGAAAAAAATGTTTATATATACGGTATATATGCTTGGCTTTACCGCCATGGCAATATTTGAAGTCCTATACAGCCTTTGATCCAGCTAAATGCTTTACCTATATACAGTACGTTATATAGCCGCTAGTATACACTGCTTGTGTTATTACATGGAAAGGTACAACATATCTGATCGACAAATTGAGGAACGACGAAAGCCTTCTGTGAGGGAAACAAATTACTAATCTGGGGCCGGTTGTTCAAAAGCTGGTTAACTTTAACCCAGGGTTAGCGCCAGCCCTGGGTTAAAATCCTTAACCCAGGGTTAGTTAACCCTGAGTTAAAAGTGCGTTGTTCAAAGCTGGGTTATAGAGGTGCGGTTAGTTAACCCAGGGTTAAGACATTTAACCCCAGGTTAAATTTGTTTTAAAAATAAATGTAATATAAGAACGTTTTTGATTGGCTGGCCGTGTCAAAACTAGGGATAGAATGGGATAGATGGGAGAAATATTGTGTAACTAGGCAACTGAAATTGAACATTTTAGACGTGGATTTAAGCATTTTGAAAGTTTCAAGAAAAAATATAAATTTAAATAAATCAATTTTGGAATTTTAGGCAGCGCTTGAATAATTAAATTTGAGAACAAAATCCCGGCCAATCAAATGGACTTCGAATTATTTTGGAGTTGAAAAGCATTTTTCAACTCATGCGTGTTTATTCTATCAAACAGAACACGAAAACAGAAAAAGAAGCAGCGAAGTTGTTTTAAAGCTTTCAAAAACAGTGTTTTTACTAGGTGATACACTGCGCTGCAAACAGTAGATGCGTGTGCAAGAACTTGTGACTTTTAAACAAATGGCAGATGGAAACTTTGTGAAACAGGTGGTGGTACGGCGAATTGTTTGGCAATACCTACAAGTACTAGTTTTTCTAGAGTTATTTTTTGAAGAAACTTGAGTTGAATGCTCGGCTTTAATAAAACTACAGTCTACAGTTTTGGTGGCGGCAATCGACAAAGATCTTGTGAGGTAAATCCTTTTACTGTACAGTGTCTGTACACAATCTTGATTACGGCATTTGTGTGCAGACCGTTTCTTTTGGCGTTTTGTCCCCGAGCCGGCGGCGCGAAGCGCCGTGCGAGGGTACTAATTCCCCCCGGCTATTTACACCCGGAGAAACGAAAGCATTAGCGAAGTCTAAAGTTCATCAATGAGCGCGGGCGTCGGTCACCAACGATGGGTGGTCATCCTCACTGATCTCAAAAATATGGCGGACTGTCATGAATAACGGACACTGATTGGTCCAATTTAAAGTTTGCATTATAACGGCTGCATGACGACAGCGAAATAGCAAACATTTCTTGATTTGATGATTGATTAAATTTCTTGCAAATATTCTTCATTTTTGCTCGTATTTCTGCAAGATTTTGTAAATTTCAAGAAAGAAAGGGCGAAAGAATCAGCTAAAAGAAGGGAGCCGACGTTAACGAAGGTAAGTTTGTTTTAAATATTGATTTTATAATGGCTTTAAAACCCGACGGCCTTTGCGTATATGAAACAACTAAAACAAGACAGCATATACTTTCAGTGTATCTTTAATATTGATTCCCTTTTTTATTATATTGAATTTTTTAAATAAATAAAGAAAGACCAAAGTTATTTGCAAGCGAGAATTTGAAATCATTTTATTGCAAACTCAAAGTTTATCGATAAAGCCATTTAATAGTTAAAGGCAGTTTAGTTTTATAAAGAACACTTTAAAACGTTTTGTGAATTGTTTGTGGTTGAATTTTACCTTAAATTGAAGCTTGTATTACGTATAATTACATACCTAACATATATATGTTGGGAAATTGATAATTTTGTAATTAAAAGTGATATTTTTAGGCGATTTTCATTTGTAAGAATATTCTTAAAAAATTATCGTGTTACCATGACAACGACTTTAGATACTTCCTGTTCGGAAAATACAACGGTTTTGTCAGCAAGGCGAGGGTTTCTGCATGCATGTATTTTCTAGTAAATTTATAAGGTACTTTCCCACAGTATTAATAAAACACAATAAAACAGTAAATTGTGATGTCCATGCTTAGACAACAGGCATAGCACCACAAAATGGACAGAAAGTTGCCGTATCTTCTACTTTAAGCTCGTATATAAATTCAAAGCCGACTCATAGCTATAAAATCATTTCAAAGGCTTATACGGGACAAATAAGAATCTTAATAGTATTTATAGACTTAGAATTTACTTTTTGAGGTTGATTTTCCTCCATAAAAAGCTTGTTTTCTCTTTGGCGAGCCATTGGCAATTTGTCAAACTAAATAAAGTTACTAATAAGTAAAATAACATACAAGTTCCACGCTGCATCCTTCACCGTGACGTCATAAAACATGAACGTTTCTACTGGCTTTTGACTGCCTTTTCAACTTCCGGAAAAGACACTCTACTGATTTCGGTAATGTGATCATGGTGATTAAATACAAATATCATAATTTTAGCGCCTATAATTAGTTAATTAAATTTGTTTTTGTTTTTTTAATACTGCCTATCTCAAAGACAACATTTGAATTGAGTTTACAATAAAATTAAAAGAACTAACCCATCTAATATGCAGTGGGCTTCATCCACAACAATAACGCCGATTTTCTCTTGGTATATTTTGCTCTTTAGCAAGTTTCTTCCGTATTTGCACGAGATCAACGACTCTGAGCGTGCAAATACAACGTATATATAGTGCACAGTTTTGCTTTACGATCAGATCGTAAATTTATCTCCGCTTCAGGACTTTCTTCATCGCGGATGTATTTCCACGACACACTTAACACGGACGATTGTAAACCGGATCGTTTATCAGAGAGTCAAACGGAGAAACGACGATGATAATTTGTTTTTAAATCTCCTTGTTCATTCCCTGTAAACTCTTTTTGGTACTGGCCTGTTGTTCCCAAGGGACCCTTACACAGGTACTTTTTGCCACCTAGAATTTAGGGTACACGTGACCAGCCCCAGCCACGGTATTTTCTCCAACTAGGAGCGTAGAGGAAAGAGTCTGGGAACGAGGTTGAACCGATTGTTGAAAAAATACGCAATTTAAAATTATATATGCATCGCAGTTGACACACTTTGCGTTCTTGCGCAATATGTTAACTTAATGTGTGAAGCGTGCCACTTAGTAACGGTTTTGACGAAATTATCGTTAGAAAATCGACATGAATAATCGGTAATTTCCGATTGTTGCTGATATGAATCACAATGGACCTTTAACCTTATAACTAAAATTTTGATCTAGACAAAAATTTCATCACAACTTGAAAGAGCATCACAAAATTAGTAATATTCTAAAGCTTCGTTACGAAATGTTGTAAAATGCGGATAATATAGCGTTACGAAATTTGCAATTTTCAGTAATTTTGTATTACAAACGGGAAATTGATACCCAAGGAAATTGATACCGTTTGTAATCTAAAATGACTGAAAATTGCAAACTTCGCAAGGCTATATTATCCGCATTTTACAATATTTCGCAACGAAACTTCGGAATATTACTAATTTTGTGATGCTCATTCAAGCTGTGATGAAATTTTTGTCTAAACTTGTTTAGATCAAAATTTTAGTTATAAGGTTAAAGGTCCATTATATATGTAATACACTAAATGTCAAATATTGCTTCAATATTTAGGGCGCATCATGCCACAGGCAATTTGCATTTACGATTTCAAAGCTGCGGAAGACAGGGAGCTCTCGGTTTACAAAAATGAAATTGTCGACATCGTTGGTAAAAGCGAAAATTGGTGGACAGTTCGCAACAAGTATAAGCAATCTGGCTTAGTCCCAGTTAATTATCTTGCCGCACCCATAACCGACGATAGAATTGAAGTTGTAGCAAGAGGAAAAACTAAGAAAGCACACACCGCAAAAAGCGAAAATGAAGTCTCGATTGAGGCAGATCAGCAGGTGGCTATCTTGGATAAGCAGAACAATTATTGGTGGTTTGTTGGGTTTTGCGGCAAAACTGGATACATCCCAATACGTATCATACAAGAATTTAAGGTAATGTATAATTTGAAATTTGCCTTGTGAATCAACTGTTGGTTTGTACACACGTAAAAAGACACAAGTTGTAGCAAACCTGCAGCAGACTTCCAGGTTGTAGCAATATTGTTATATCATGGTTGTATCGATCGAACTTGTTGGAATAATCTTGCAACAAGTCTGATAATATCAACAAGGTTGCTCCAAGTTGTTAACAACTTGTTCCATACTTGTTGACAACTTGTGACAAGCAGTGCAAGCACAAATTGTTCCATACTTGTTGACAACTTGGGACAAACAGTACAAACACAACTTGTTGACGGCTTGTTGGCAGACTTGCTACAAGATGTGAGATTTTTAGGCATGTAGCTAGCCACCCAGCCCAAAAATCATTTCATCATGTCCAGTTGGGAAACTTAAAATCTTATTTCTTCTGTCTCAACACAGAATAAAGATAAAGAAAAGGAAGAGGGTATGTTTCTATCATCTTCTTATATCTTCAAAACAACTTTTTTCTTCACCAAAAACTCAAAATTGATTATTGATCATTAAACTCAAAGTTATAATGATTTTTCGATAAATGTTAATAAACAGTTATATTTTAACTCTTGTCAATGGTAAATTATTGTTTTCATGCTGGGTTGACTGTCAGTATCGTGAATCTAAGGAATTTCCTGTTAGTGAGCTTTTATGCTTCATTATAAATGCGTTGTTGTGACGAATACGCGTGTTTGCTGCACGAGTCATCGTCAAAGTTGCAATTGTGCGCGCGTTGCAAAGGACTATAGAAATTCTACTTCAGCTATTGAAATGCTTATGTGGCTAACAAAATAAGACCACTATTTGTTACATATTATGCACCTACCATCGGCCATCCCTGGGGGTACAACCCCTGGCTACGCTTTGTAAACATCCCCACCCCCAGGGCAGGAGCACAACACAAGGCTTTATTACAGTATCAAACTTCCTACGAGGAGAAAGACGGCGTCTCTATTGGTTCTTCTCTATATAGTTTAGGTCCAATATTATACAATTATTGGACGAGGTTGAGCAAAATATCGTGATTTATCAGTGGTGAGCAGATCAATTATTTGACGATGCCGAAGGCAGAGGCAGAGCCACTGATAAATCACGATATTTTGCGATAGACGAGTTCAATATTTGTTTTATCATTTACCGATTAGTATTTGTAAATTATGTACTGTTAATAAACGAGCAGGAGTGTTTTATTAGGTTTAAAGGCACGAGCACGCAGCGCGAGTGGCTTTAGACCTAATAAAACACGACCTGCATGCGAGTTTATTAAACGGCTTCAAATACGACTACAAATTCAATAGATATACTGCCTTATTAGCATTCTTTGTATAAAGAATACTAATGAGGATACGATTATAATAGTATTCTTTATATAAAGAATACTAATTAGGAGTGTTTTATCAGGTTTAAAGCGACTGCACGTGACACATTATGGTTGACATGATTTGCCAATAAGCTTATGAATTATTAATGAGTGTTTGAAAACTTTGTGTAATCCATCCTGTTTCATGGCTTGGGGATAAAAATTTTCCAGCACCTTCACAAGTTTAACTTTCGACGTCAGAAGCTCAGCTTCACTCGATCGTTTTCGTGTACTGTAAATACCCTCGAAATAGGTTTAAAGCAACTTTTGTTCCCTTTTTTGTGTTTTCGGTGTCCTTTTCCTCAAGTAAAGATATTTTTTAATTTAAGCTGACGAATCATTTTCAAAGTGCGCATGCTCAATGAAGTATTTGCGCCAGTTATTTGCACCTGATCAATATTTGCACACAGATATTTGCAGGTAAATTAACCAATCAAAATTGAGAATACTATAACGTGAATGATAATAGCTGATATAATTACACATATAAGTCCGACATTATTATATTCTACTGTCATCATGCTGAGGACACTCGAATTTTAAATCTACGGTGGATAATTTTGTGGATGGTTTAATACATTTTTTAATTTTAAAATATGCGAGTCCGACATTGATGTTTTGCGTAAAGATGCGATCAGCAGTCGAAAAATATTTACGTTTTAACTTCTTTTTGAGCGATTTTCTTCTAGTGGCAGGAAAGCCTTTCTAGGGCATGCAGCAGTAATTTTCGAAATCTATTTGTTGAATAAGTGATGTTGGTGCATATTTGTGGAGGCCCGATGGGAAAATATGTTAATATGTGCAATTTTACCTTGCAATCAATTGGAAATCTTCTTGGCGCTATCACCCCAACACCTCAAGCAGTGGCGGACACTAGGGGTTGGGGTTGGGGGGTGCGGCGGGGGGGGGTCGCCCCTAGTCTCTAATAAAATAAAAGCGAACAATTAACGATACGCGACTTGCACTAAGAGGTCATGCGACCTTAATCCTTTTAAAATAGTAGGTATGGAACTACAAATCTACAATGAACATACTGAGTGATGTTTCAAGAAAAGCTTCGTAATTTTTTTAAAAAAGGAGGGAACGCTTTATTGAAGGCCATTTGCTGGAGGTTATATACTTATATTTCATTTTACGTGTAGTGCTAAATCTTGTTTTAACTTTATTTTGTCATTATTATGAAGGGCGAAGACGTTATTTGGAGAAAGCTCGCGTAAAAGGTAATGCCAAAAATAATCAAGTTCTGATTACGCTGATCGGGCAAGGCCGAGGGGAAAGTCTTCGCTGATGAGACGTCTTTTAGGATTACCATTATATCCCTCTGCCATGCCCATGCCCATGGCACTGTAACGACAAACCAACAACACGATAAAAGAAAGGGAATAAATAAAAATTCACACAGCTGCATTAAACATTTTACGAGGAGAAAGACGGCGTCTCTGTTGGTTCTTCTTTAGGCCCAATATTAGCTGCTATATAATTATATGTAAGTCCGGCATTATCAAATTCTACCGTCGTCATGCTGAGGATATTCGGTCATATTTTAAATCTACGGTTGATACGTTTTGTGGTCTTTCCGTTGGTTTAATACATTCCTTGATTTTAAAATATGCGAGTCCGTCATTGATGTTTTCCGTAAAAATCTGATCAGCATTCGAAAAATATTTACGTTTTAGCTGCTTTATGAGCGATTTTCCTCTAGTAGCTGGAAAGCCTTCCCAGCGCATGCAGGGGTAAAGTTGTTCAATAAAGTGGTGTTGGTGCATATTTTTGGAGTCCGGCCCGATGGAAAAGTATGTTAATAGAGAGTTTAAGCTTCGCGTTATACGTCAAACGCCAGGTAAAGAAACATTTTACGGTATCAGGCAATAAAGAGTAAGTGAACTTGCTGTTTTAAAACTGAAATATATAATTATTCTTTCGACGCAAGAACGAAAATCTGAAACGAAAACGTTCAACGAAAATTTTGCCAAGAAAGTTCGAACCTGCCTTTTTACCGTTTCTGGAAGCGTGAAGCTTAAACTCCCTAGTCAGTCCCCAGGTTCGAAATTCGTATAGTGTGTGCACTACCACTGGACCTGTAAATTTGACTTGTACAAAACAACCTGATGATATCATCTACCCAAAATTTAGTTCAGGCAACCCTATCTAGGCAAGAGAGTTGCAGCAGAACTCCACGTGAAGTTTATAATTACATTAATATTATAATAGCATAGTTGCCTGGGTTTCTTTTTTTTCAACAGGGTCGATTACTAACTAATCGCCCGCTACAGCGGGCGATTTGTTCCCTGATTAGTTCTAATTGCCCGTTGGCAAGGGTCACACCCTGCCGACTACGCATTAGGCAAGTGCCTCACGCAAGGAACAGCAACAGCTCAGAGCCGTCAATGGTCTATCATCCGATCCCCGAGTAGTTGCATCATTTAAATCACAGGGAGCTGAGGCGTTGATATTGTTTATTGTGTATTGTTTATGTTAAATTTCAAACGTGAACCTCTACAGTATATAACGTTTATAAAAAAATGCAAAATTATATCGTTTATTTTACTTACTTCGTAATCAAAACGGGTAGGGATAAAACGCTGAAACTGAATCGCGGAAACGGAAACTGAAAGCGGAAACTGAAGTGGGGATAAAACGCTGAAATGGGGGTAAAACCACTGAGCTATACTATATTACTGGAGGACCTGCTCGGGGAAAAAAAGTGAAGCCAAAAACATGGCGGATCTGACGCCATTGCCATGACTACTGGTCCCTAAATTCATGGCAACTACCACTGTCCCAACCGCGATCCTAAGTTTTCGACAATGTACTTCACCCCCCTGGTTTCAGCACAGATATTTTATGATTTCGCTTGTTTTTGAGGTAAAAAACGCACTGAAAATCTTGATATTTTTCTCCTATAACTTGGTTGATTTACAATGTCGAGGATCCTGCCTTTTTGCGCCGCTCGTAGATGTATGAGATGTACAAGAAGAATCTTTTTATTCACCGGTAAGATTTTTATATATTGTAGAAAATTTGAAGCAGAGTACAAACTACAAAGTTTATAATACTACGAACATAAAAGTATATGAACAGCAAATTATTAGCAGACATAACAACCTGTAAATGGTTGGCAATTCTGTACATTTTATTGTTCTTTTGATTTGGTACTACTACTGCTATAGCGATATTTGCGTAGGGTTTCATGGCTGGTTAATATGATTTCAAAGTCCTTGCTGTAGTGTCTGCACACTTCTATTTATTTAGTATTTTAGTATATTAAATTTTCCTTGACAAACTTTGAGTGATATCCTTGCCAGGTTCTTGCCAGCAGTTGTTTATAATTACTGTGTAGTTATATGAAATCTCACTTACATGACATGATCATGTAGACAAGTGAACAAATACATCAGGTTCAAACCATTCAATACCCATTGCAATCAAGCAATTACCATAAACATATAAGCCCCCCCCCCAATATAAGCCCCCCTGTGTATAATCCCATCATATTTACTAACGCTCAGGCTATTCCGAATATAAGCCCCTCCCCCCTCTAAAGCCAGGCCTGTGTGTACAAGCCCATGGGCTTATATTATTTGACAGGGGCCGGTTGTATCAAGCCCGTTTAGCTTCATTTCTCATGAATCAGTCAACTTAAATATTCTGCACTGAATATGTAGTTGTAAACATCATTCTATTAAGGTTCAAAACTTCTAGTTTGGTTGTTGAATGAATCTATAGACTTGCTTTCTATTTTGAGCTTAAATGTTTAAGCTAAACAGGCTTGATACAATTGGCTCCAGGTATATTTATTAATGCAGCTTAGCCATACGTATTAGAATACAAGCCCCTGAGGGCTAGCTGGCCGGCTTATATTCAGAGGCCGGTTTACAATATCTCGCCCAACATAGTTTGTCAGAGTTCTATAAATCCCGCAGTCATTAGAGGCCGGTAATATAGGAATGACAGGTGCATAATATGTGTGCCAGTCACCTTGGCATTGACCAACCTTATGCTCTGACAATTAACCTAGATTGATTGATGAAATGTTTGAGAGCAGTTTCAGGTTTCAGTGGTGGTATCCCCAGTATTGGAGTAGAGCTCAAATTTCAGTTAGATATATTATTTGTGATTGTTGTGAACCTTCTCACTTAGATAATTTGTGATATATTGTAATTAAATGTAAAATGAAACTTTGGGGAGTTAAGAAATACAATTAATTGACAAGACTGTCCCCTTGACAAGTAAAATTGTCAGGCATTAGACTGCCTGAGTAAAATAATAAGCATGGGTGCAATTAACTGCTGTATGCTTTAAAGTTGGTTGCAAGCTTTAAAGTTGGTTGCAAGCTAGCTGGGCTTATAAATGCCAGAACTTATATGTGAAAAATGCTTGGATCAATTTATTTCATCCGTAATGAACCCATTTTTAATCCTTTAAGTGGCAGTGCGCCCTACTACAATATTTTACTACGTCCAATGCCAGACGATTTTACTCGTCAAGTTGAGAGTGCTGCCCCTCAATGGGTTCAGTTGCATTGCACCAATGCACCCTACTGTATATGTTCGTGTTACTTTGTCTAACGCCAACAATTTTACTTGTCAACAAGAGAGCACAGTGGTACGTGCTGAATGGGTTAACATATAAATAATGTCCACTCTACAGTAAATTTCCCTGTAATTGAACTTTGGAGCCTGGTATATGTGACTCACTATTTCTTCAAAGTGTGTTCTAATGATACTAGCTGTCACTATTTTATAAATATAATTGACATTTCTCATTTAGGGTGATCCGGGATGTAAGTCATGTGGACAAGTTCTTTGGAATGTTCAAATAACAAGAATAGTGGTGTTATGGTAGTGGTGGCACTTGCCAGACCTACCGTAACTGGAAAAACTAACAATGACTTTTCTCCAAAGTCTTATATCAGGCTTTTTTTCCGGGATTTTTAGGGCCATTAAACGGCCCCAAAAACTCAATCTTGAATTGAGTTTTGAAACTCAATCTTCTCACCAAAGTTTCAGTGCAGTAAAAATGAAGTTGTTTGAGTTAAATTCGTGATGTGTGGAAATTAGTTTTCAGTTGGAAACCCGACAATTAAGAAAAAATGGCTGGAATTCATCTCACAACACAAGAAAAACTATGCATTCGCCATCTTTAACCAGTTTATAGTGTCCCTCAATGCCCCTGCTTTAACACATTCCGTCTCAACTACATTTGTTGAGTACAAGTGCCAGCCCCCCGGTAGGGGGGGGGGGGTGCAACCACCACAGCTGTTCAGCTAAACTCAATCTTCTCTGCAAAAACGGACCCAAGAGAAAATCCTGGAAAAAAACCCTGTTATATGTACTACAAGAAATGGCCCAAGGCATCAAAACAGGGGACAGCCAAAGAATCACCCATGGAGCTACAGTTATAATTATAATACTCTATCACATATTGTAACTTGATTGTACAGTTATAATTATTAATTTGATAATTATTCTTTGACCAAGTTTAATTAAAATAATACAAAATTAATCATGATTTTGAATCTTTAATTTACAAACATGTTGCAGCTTGGTACTGAGTTTCATTAACAGTTAAACAACAGTGGCATGGACTCATGCATTGTTGGAAAATTCTGCATCTCTATTGTTTTGACACTATATTTTCATGACCAATTTTGTTGTTTTGACTTCATTTTGACCAAGTCAGTCAGGTTAGTAACTATCTTGTCTAACATTTAGAGATCTTGTCTTGTTCAAGTGAGATCTCAAACTGAGCCAGGTTATCCATGCAAATTGAAAGGAATTTCCACTATAAAAATATTAAAATAACCACACAGTAAAGTCTCGCTTACTGCAATATGGCAAAACTAGAGACTCACAATTAACTTAATATTTGAGGGATGGGGCAAACAAGCTAATGGCCTTTTAAAGACACATACAACAAACTATCATACAAATAATACAATACAATACAATCAGAGAGCACATATTAAAACTGCAATGTACAATTCTGGATATAAAACATGCCTTCTCACTTCAGCTGGCCCTACTAGGCACCTGAGCTTTTTCCTGCATCAGTTCACCACAAGCTCATGCATAACAAAACATTTGGCTAAATATATAAAACCTTAATTTCCTCTTTAATACACCAAAACATCATAGTTTCATCATACATGTACTGTTGTGCAACTCGATATTGGGAGGGATGAAATTATTGCATAAACTTAATACAGTAAATACAAAAAGGTTTATCTACAACCACATTATAAACACTTGTGGCTTATTTTCTAAAAAATAGAGTACATTTTACCATTTATTCCTAACATTTTTTCATGAAATACTAAAATAAAAATGTGAATTTTAAAATGTTTACCTGTTTTAAGAGTTGACTACTTGACTGCATGTTTATAGACTGCTGTTTATAGCCCGGCTTGAAATATCGTTTTTGTCCACATTTTGGGAGGTTTTAATAGTTGTTTGTTGTCTGTCACGGACGAGAATAACGTGTACGACTTTCACATCCTTGAACAAATGGTCAAACGTCGAAAAAATATGTCGAAAATGACAAAACAACAAGAATTCACTGCAAAAATCCGAAATATTTTTTGCAGAAACCAGGGGGGTGTGAAAACTGTGGCGGGCTCACAATTGAGCCTTGTTCAGTGGCAATTACCATGAATTTAGGGACCAGTAGTCATGGAAATGGCGTCATTTTCACTCAAAATCCGCCATGTTTTTGGCTTCACTTGGTTGACTGAACGAAGTATAGGAGCAGGTCCTCCAGTTATTATACAGCTCAGTGGGTAAAACGCTGAAATAGGTGTAAAACGCTGAAATGGGGGTAAAACGCTGAAATGGGGGTAAAATGCTGAAATGGGGGTAAAACGCTGAAATGGGGGTAAAACGATGAAATGGGGGTAAAACGCTGAAATGGGGGTAAAACGCTGAAATGGGGATAAAACGCTGAAATGGGGATAAAACGCTGAAATGGGGATAAAACGCTGAAATGGGGGTAGAACGCTGAAATGGGGGTAGAACGCTGAAATCGGGGTAAAACGCTGAAATGGAGGTAAAACGCTGAAATATACATTTTGTTCTTTGAACATCAACTGTTTCATACGTGTAATAATCGTCAAATCATACGGTGGACTTGCGATAATCCCGCCGAGTTTTAACGATTGGGAACATCCAAAACAAGTGCGAACTAAAGGAGGACAACACTGCAAAAGACTAAGAACAAATGTTCCTACTGGAGGATTGACAGCGGTAGGTAATGGGACCTGTTGGGATCCTTGTGGCGTTGCTGACGCTGACCGAGGTGCATAAACTGGCTGTTGCATTGACGTCATATAACGTAGAAAAAACTATCCTAACATAAAACTAAACCCTAACGCTAATACTAACCCTTACCCAGTAACCCTAACCTAACCTAAACCCTAACCCTAACCTAACCCCCAACTTATTTTAAAAATTGATATAAAAACGGAAACCTTATTTTGAAGTATACTATCTAGCAATTGCCGTTCGCAATGGGTCTAGCAAACAACGAATTCGATTAAATTTCCCCATTTCAGCGTTTTACCCCCATTTCAGCGTTTTACCCCCATTTCAGCGTTTAAACCCCATTTCAGCGTTTTACCCCCATTTCAGCGTTTTACCCCCATTTCAGCGTTTTACCCCCATTTCAGCATTTTACCCCCATTTCAGTTTCCGCTTTCAGTTTCCGTTTCCGCGATTCAGTTTCAGCGTTTTATCCCTACCCTAATCAAAACATCACAGCAACATAATTTCAAAATATTAAATTTGCATTGTTACATACTTTATATAACTATAACAAAGTGTCTTATACCGATGACGTTCCGATCCTAAGCCGAACAACGAATGCGATGCACTACAGTATAAAATTAAGAAAGGGATGAAACTCCGACAAGGCTTGATTTGATAATTCTTCTAATTCGCGAGGAACTCGACAAAAACGGCTGATTTTCGGTTTGCTACATTTTGAACATATGTTCTTGCTATTTAGTGAAAAAAGTTGACGAAAATGATCATTAAACATATATATTTTACGACTTAAAAAAGGATTATTTTCGTCATATGTGGACCGCAACAGGTGGTGACGGAAATGACGTAACCAAGGTCTATTTTTGAACTCTTCGCATCTAAAGAAACCTCTTCAAAATTATGCCGAGTTTATTACTCGCTGGGGCACGTGCGAGTATAGGTTTCGGCACGCGTGGTGGATGTCAGTTGTCGGATTTCCGATCGTCTTGATAGCCACAAAATAGAATATTAATGAGCTGCCTAATTTCCCCCCAATTATCCATAAGGCTCCTGCCAATTTTACCCAAATTATCCATAAATAACCCTGCATTTTGAGGAAAATTCGGGAAAATTGAACAATTTTACAAGGAATTTCGCATGGAAACAGCAACCTTCGCAAATCGCAAGTTTATACTATGGTTTTACGTTTGGCTGTGCTGCTTTATATTTTGAGAAGAAAGCGACACCATTCGATTCAGCGTAAGAAATTGTACTTACGGATGTCAAGTTGAAAATCAAGCGAAATTGTATTGTTGACAACTCGCTCGCAATACGTATGTACTGTTATTGTTGAGAAATCACTCGCGCTAGGTTTGTCCTTGTATTTGTAATGCTTGATGGCGCAGTAAGGATAAAAATACCACCGTTCGTTTGAGCGTAAGAAATTGTACTCACGGATGTCAAATGTATTACTAAACAGCAGTATTCTAGCGATTTATGGCCTTTGAAAATCAAGCGAAATTCGAGGCGAAATTGGTCAAATTGTATTGTTTTATAATTGTTGACAAATCGCTCGCAGTACGTTTCATAGTGTTTTGTAATGCCTAATGGCGCCATTAGGATAATATATCCACCGTTCGATTCAGCGTTAGAAATTGTACTAACAGTTCTTGAAGAAGGATTGTAGCATACCAGCCACATGAAATAAATTCCTTGATTCTCATCACTATACACTTTGAAAATGTCGAAGAGGCGGGAGGTATATATTTTTAATATTTTATATTTATACAATTTATATACCGAAAAAATATAATTCCTGGCATTTAATATTTCTGTGAGTTCCGAAGTAAAGTGTCACAAACTGAAATAAACATATTACATTACGGGCGTTGTGAAAACCCGGAATGCCGGAATATCACGAATATGGCGGAAATCACGGAATATGCCGGAATATCACGACATTTTCCCGGAATATACCGGAACATCAGAATATTTTCCAATGGTAGCCATGCGACTGATAAACATGGACGTCTGACAACATATTTTATTACAAAAGTGATGGATCTTTCCCATTTTGACGGTAAGTAACAAATAATAAGTCTATACTGGAAATTTTATATGTTGTTTATATCTTTACGAGTGTTCACCAAAAATTTTGAATCAATGATTAATTCCTCCTGAATAGCTGCAGCGTCTTGAAAAATAAAAGTGCCAACGTCAGCATTATTTTCGAACGCCTTCAGAACTGTGTTATATACACAATTTAGTTAAGAGTTAGAAACATGATATAAACAGCTGGCTCAAACTTGCCTTTATTTTAGAAATTGATATTTGGATAAATGCTTGGTGGTATAAAATGGTCAATTTTAACTAAATTTTGTGTATATTAACCATAGAAATATTAGACCTAGAATGCGTGCTTGG